AGTCCCAGATGACTTGTCCCAGGTCCTCTGTTCACAAAGGGGATCTGACTCCAGGTCCATTGCCTCACAGTCCTCCTCCCATCAGGATTTTTCTCAAATTATTCAGATGTCACCAGTAAAGAATTTCTGTATCTTTGATCTTGCTGGATCCTCCCTGAGGTAGGGCCCACCTGCCCATTTAGAGGCAAGCTGAAACCTAGGAAGTCCAAGTGACTCACCCAAGTCCACAGAGCGAGTCAGATCTAGGGCAAGAGCCCACATGTCTGGGCTCTGAGATACCCAGTGAGATCATGGAGGAAATGCGACGCTGTCTTTCCCAGCTTTGCCTTGGACCAGATCATCCCTGGAATGACAGACACCCAAGGGGCTTTCCTGGAAAACAACTTCCTTGAGATGAGAGCTGCTAAGAAATATTTTCAGCTCTGGGGCAGCCCCACGCTAAGACCATGTTCCTGGGCTTAGTGTGCCCAGGAACCCCCTTACTGGTAGCCCAGAGCTCAGAGTAAACACTTGGACCATGATTCTTTCTGCCCTTGATGTTTCAAACAGAACTGCCGCTGAATGAAATGGAGTGTAAGCAAGGGCTGGACAGGCCTCTAGGGGACACAGGCACCACCCTCAGAAAGACCTGTAAACAGTAGGAAGCTCTAAGCCCTGGAGCACAGGACCCTCAAGCCCTGAAGAGGGATGAGTATCTTTGGATCCCAAGGGGATCTCATCCCCATTCAGGGGCCTCTGGGTCCCAGTGGGAGGACCTCTAGACCATTTACAGATGGATCTTTTGGGGGTTTTAGTGAGGAGTCTTTGAATACTGTGGACCCCAGTGATGGGATTCAAACAATAACAAATCACTTGTCAGAATCATGGTAACAGTTGAAGTGTTTGCATATATTTGCTGTGTATCTATGGAGTTGCTTCAGTTCTTTTCATCCCTGGAGCACGCACTCCCTGATGATCTCACGCTCCACACTGGCCCTCAGAGCTTCATCTTATGGAGCTAAAGAGATTGAAGATGGAGAAATTAAATCCAAATCCCCACAGAGAAGGACACCACATCTGGAATCAGGCCTGACCCTGTCCTGGGGCCTCCATCTGCCCTGCACCCTCCCCACCTGCCCGCCCCCTGCACCAGCTGGCCCTGCCTTTCCAGCTCCTCCTGAGCAGCAGGCCTTAAAAGCCAAATAACCAGCCCCTACTCCTTTCTGAAAAAGCCTTGTCTGGGGAGGTGGGACGAACTGGAGACCTTCATCCTGCCTCTGCTTCCTTCCGTGCTTTGATAAGAATTTAAGTGAAATCGTGGGTCTGGGACCTCCCTGGTGGTCCAGTGGCTAAGACACCGCATTCCCAATGCAGGGGGCCTGGGTTCAGTCCTTGGTCAGGGAACTAGATCCCACAGGCTGCAACTGAAGATCCTGCATGCCTGCAACGAAGACCCAACATAGCCAAATAAATAAATAAGTAAAATCATGGATCTGAAAGTACTTGGTAAACTGAAAAACGTTGAATTGACACAGACAAGGGGAAAATACCACTCTTGTTTTGTACAGAGATGAGTGGTTTAACATCATGCCTCTGAGGGGCTCACAGTCTGGATAGACAGACACACAGACCAACATGGCATGATTAGTGTGACAGCCACAGGGTGTGCCAAGCGCTGTGAGGGTACAGACAACTCCTGAGGGAGAAAGAGGTCTTGAGAGGAGGACACCCTGGAGATGGGCTCTGAGGGAGGTGTGAGAGTTTACCAAGTAGACAAAAGAGAAGATGTGCATTTCAAAGGCAGGAACAGCTGGTGTAAAGGCAGGGGGCCTGGAGAGGGAATGGCATACAGCTAGAGCCAGAGAGTCCAGTCAGGGATGGGCAAATGAGTCGTGGCAAGGCAGTCAGGGCAGGGCAAAGAGCGCTGAAAGGCTTACAAGAAGATTTGGAGTTCTTTTCAGTAAATAACAGAACTTCTAAAGCAGGGAAGTGGTACTTAAGCAAGAAATGATTTTTTCGATTCTTCACAAGTTTCAAAATAGAGACAGAGTGAGGAAGCAAATTGCTCAAAGCCTCAGTATTAGGAAAACAGAACTAATAGGAGATACGTACTGCCACACTTATATTTTTATATGCAAATATTTATACTTATATCTATAAAAGATTTATTATAAGTATATATGTATATATATATACACACACACACATATATATAGGGCTTCCCGGGTGGTGCTAGTGGTAAAGAACCCACCTGCCAATGCAGGAGATATAAAGAGACACAGGTTCAATCCCTGGGGCGGGAAGATCCCCTGGAGGAGGGCATGGCAACCCACTCCAGAATTCTTGCCTGGAGAATCTCATGGACAGAGGAGCCTGGTGGGCTATAGTCCATGGGGTCGCAGAGAATCAGACACTACTGAAGTGACTTAGCACACACACACATATATAGGAGATTTTTTTTTTAATAAAGAATGGCTTATGCAGTTACGGAGACCAGCGAGTCCCAGGATCTGCAGGGTGAATCAGCAAACTGGAGGCCCAGGAGAGCTGATGGTTTAGTTCCAGTCCGAATCTGGAGCTATCTGGACGCTCATTGGCACATAAAATTATCACAGCCTCACAGCTAACTAGTGGTAGGGCTCAGGTTCGATCCCAGGACTATCTGACTCGAGAACCCATTGCCGCAGCAGCCTCTGGGCAGAGATCCAGGGCTCTCCTTTCCCAGCCTGATCTCCAGCCTCATGCCAGCTGGAAAGAAGCAGCCAGTTACCAGCCAGGTCAGGCCATGGGCCAGCCAGAGACAACCAAGCGGGGCTTGGGGAAGGACTAAACAACAGCTTCTCTGTTTTAGGCAAGGCTTTACAAAGGGTCCTACGCCCTCTTAGGTGAGCAGGTGAGGGCAAGGGGGCTGGGGCTCCAAAGGAACCGGCCAGCAGGAGCAGGACCTCCCCTGCTCTCATCAGATGTCTAAACAGTGGTGCCTCTGTCTCCCTTCCCAGACCCTGCTCCCTGACCTGGAGAGTCATTGCTTTCAAGATTGTTGGAACTGGAAAAGCCCCCAATATTCCCTTCTTCAAATCAGTTCCACACCATTATGCAGATAGCAAAACAGAGATCCAATGGGCTTCCCCACTGAGCCAATTCAGTTCTTGTCAATCCATGTTTATAGGTCTCACTGTGTTCTACCGTGTAGGGGCTCAGATGGTAAAGGAATAGAAGAGGCAAGTCCAAGAGAGTGGTTACGTGACTCTTTCCCCACCAGCCTGGAACCCCTAAGGAATAAAGATGGACCCACCTCTGTGCCTCTAAAGTGAGCACAGGGCCTAGCATAGAGAAGGTGTGTGTGCCCGCTATTCAGTAATGTCCCCACATGTTCCACAAGGACCTGGGGTACCTATGAGAGGCACAGAGAACAGAATCTTCATGGGTTGGGGCTAGTATAAAGGTGGGTGGTGAGAAAAAAGAAATTGAGGATAAAACATGACAGGTTCCAGGCTTCAGCTCCCGGGTACATGGGGGTATCCTTCCCTAGTTTGAAGGACAGTTGGAAGAAGTACAAATCTAAAGGGAGGATGACAAGCACAGCAGGGACCCTGAAATTATGAGTAAAGGTCTGGAGAAGGAAAAGTAAAAGGTTTGTTTGGGGAAGGCTGTTGGTATGTCTTGGAGAGCAGGAAGAATTAGGTATGAGTGGTAGGAGGTTTGGAGTGGAGGCTGAGATTGGTCCTTGATTCCTTTCTGGCAGTGGAGAGACACTGTAGGTCTGTAACAGATCCTCAGAGAGATGATTCCAGAAGTCACTTCCAGGGCCTTCCCTGGTGGTCCAGTGGCTAAGACTCCAAGCTCCCAATGCAGGGTGCTTGGATTCAATCCCTGGTCAGGAAACTAGATCCCACATGCTGCAACTAAGAAAGCACTGCCACAACAAAGATAAAAGATTATGCGTGCTGCAACTAAGAACCGGTACAGCCAAATATATAATTTTTTTAATTCTTAAGAAAAAAAAAAAAGGTCACTCCCAGCAAGCACCATGGAAACAGTACCGCCAGATTCCTCAGGGAGTAGGGGAGATGAAGCCAGGCTGTGCCCACATCAGTGTCCACTTTCTTCCCTGTTCACCATATTTACCCCTCCCCACTCTGAGGGGAGGGGTAAATGCCCATTGGGCAGATGAAGAAACTAAGACACAGGGAGGTGAAGTGTGTGCCCAGGGTCACAGCTGGGGAGAGAATCACTTGGAGCCCATCCCCCTTCTACCTTACAAAGAAAAAGAGGCCCAGAGGGGAAGGACCCCATTTTGCCCAAGAGGAAGTAGAAACACAGAAGGTTGGGTCTTTTCCAAGCTATTCAGTAAATAGTGATCAAGCCCTCCAAACATCCCGAGTGTTTTTTCATCTCTCCACAGAACTGGACCTTTCTAAGGTCCTCGAGCCCAGAGTTTCCAAAATACTTGTCTTGGCCACTATATCTTTGGTTCAAGATGATGCCACTGTGGAACCAGATGCAACTTGACTCTGCCTACTGAGATCCAGGGAGGGGAAACAACCTCCCACGTCACCCAGAAAATCAGGGTCTAAGGTCAACGGCTATTTCCCTGGGCTGTCCCATAGCGTGGCAGGATAGAGGCTCGAGGGGTGGTGGGAGCAGCCTCTGGGTGACCGTGGGAAACGTCTCTGGGGAAACGAAGATTCTGAGGCCCAGAAACGGCAAGGGGCTGGCCCCAAGCTCCGTCAGCTAAGACCTGCTGTTGCCCTACCTCAGCACTTGGCGAACACCAGGTACTTTCTGGCGGTGAGGAGGATGGGCCGGGCCCCCGCGCCTGCCCCACATCCCACCATGAGAGCGCACCGGGAGCGAGGGGCTTTCCACTCAGATCCCCGAGAGAAGTTGCTCCATCATCCTGTCTCACCACAACCATTTCCTTCTCTAAAAACTCCCTTCCCCACAGGCCCTGAGGCCAGCCAGGCTCTCTCAACACAGAGGGACTAGCTTCTCGGGCTGAAGCCACGCCGGACTCAGGAATGTCCCAGGAGGCCCTCTTGCCTCTGCCACGGCCACAGCAGAGGGTGTGTGCCGGGTTGGCCCCAGGCTGGCCCGGGGCTGAAGCTAGCCCCTCTCTGAGAGGAAGAGTCACACATTCGTACCGTGGCAAAGCCCTCACACACACAAGAGCTCACTTAATCCTCACAGCCAACCCGCGGCGGCGTTACAGTTACTATCAGTGGCCCTTTTCCAGGTAAGGAAAGTGAAAGCAGGAAGGAGCTCCGAGAAATAACGACTTTTCCGTCTGACTGAGCACTTTGTTCCTCCTAAAGGTCTGTTCAGTAGTGTATCAGTAGAGTATCAGGTTCTGAGTTTTGTTTAGCTTTCGCAGACTTTTTTGGAGGTTGCCTGGGAAAGAGTCAAGCCTCACCCATCGTGTCCAAAGCGGAAGCCCCCAGGGTTGGGGAAACCGGAGCAGGAAAGGAGACTTGACTTAGCGAAGGTCACACACGGCAAGTGAACTAACTGGCTGGGGTCAGACTTGAAGGCAGGAAGCACCTGCCAGGCTTGTACCCTGATACACGGGCTGCCGCCTGCCGCCTCGCGTCCCTAAGGCCTCAGCTTCTCAGCCCTTCCAGAGCTCACGTCTCCGGTGGGGCCGCAGACTGTGGGAGCCGGGTGTGCTGAAACGCGTCGGTCTCTGTGGGTGGAAAGATTCCGATCCCACCCACTTTGGGCGCCAGCAGCTCCTCCAGCCCCCGCTGGCCTCCCTGACCCTTCCAGCCCTGCCCCCGCCCCGCCCTCCATGCGCCAAGCACCTGAGGCTTGAAAGGCTCCGCCCCCAGCGGTGCGGCAGGTCTAAGGGGCGGGGCCATGCCGAAGCTCTGCCCCTTTACCTGCGGAGGCCCACCTTGGGAGACGAAAGGTTCGCTCCCGCTAGAAGAAAGAAGGTCCGGCTGGTAGGTGACGCCAGCAGCTACTGACTCATACACTTATCCATTCATGCATTCAACCTCCCTGATGTTTATTCATGCACTCCCTCGGCAAAATTCTTAACCCCAGAACCTTCTAATTCTCTCGATAGACTCTTCCGGACAGCCAAACTGGGTCACGCCTTTTTCTGGACCCTGGAGACACAGAAATGCACAAGGTGGACACAATCTCTGACCTGGAGGAGTTTAGGAGTGCAAGGGGCACAGCAGCGTGTGTCTGGTACTGTAAAGGATGGGCGCAAGGCAGCAAGGAAACAGGGAAGAAGCGTCCTGTCTAAGAGCATCCAGGCAAGGCTACAGAGAGGAGTGGTGTCCCACCTGGATCAGGAAGGGAGCAACAACTGGCCAGGTGGAGTTAGCAAGAGTGACAACCCAAATATAAGCTCTCTGCAGTCTCTTACTGTGTACTCTGGCTTCCCTGGTGGCTCAGCGGTAAAGAATCCGCCTGCCAACGCAGAAGACGTGAGTTTGATCCCTGGATGGGGAAGATCCCCTGAAGAAGGAAATGGCCACCCACTCTAGTGGGTGGGAGATCCAATAGACAGAGGAGCCTGGCGGGATGCAGTCCGTGGAGTCGCAAAAGACTGGGACACAACTTGGCGACTAAAACAACTATGTGCTTTATTTCCATTAATTTTCATCTTTATCACAATCCTGGAAAGTAGAGATTATCACCTTCATTTTACAGATGAGAAAATTGAGGCTTCAAGAGTTTAAATCAATTGTCAAAAGTGATACAACCAATAAATACAAAACCCAGAATCTGAGCCAGGTTCATTTCCAAGTTTAGACCTAGATTTAAGTTTAAAAATACAGAATGTTAAACATAAAGGTCCGGAGGCTATATCAAAAATATTAGCAATGGTAGTCTCTGGGAGATGAGTTTATATTATTATACATTTGAATTATGTATGAGATGAGATATCTATATATGTTAGAATTCACAATTTCCCTATGGTAGATTAGTTTTGCTTTCTCCAATTCTTTTTTCTTTCTCTCGAAATGGAAATTGCTTGACAGTGGTGTTTTTCCCTTGATTACAAAAACATAGGGTCATTTTTGAAAATCAGTCCGTTTAAAAACAATCATTTCCAGTGATTATTTTCCCTCTGTATTTTCCTAACTTACTGCATCAAGCATATATTACCTTTGTGATTCGAAAGCAAATGCTATTTTTAAGAAATGAATTGCACACATCGAGGACTGAGTGATCCGAACAACTAGAGCTCAGACAGTTCCTGAGAAAAAGGCTTGGGGGTTTTGGTTGACCTCAGACCAGAGTGAGTCATCCCAGTGAAATAGCTGCCAAACACTGGGCAGACAAATAGAAATGCGGGTCCCAGACTGGAGAAGGAAACCTCTCTTGCTCCTCAGGGCTGTCAGACTTTACGTGGGCTGGAGAGCTGCCCTGCAGCTGAGGAGAACCTGAGTGCAGGTGAAGGACCTTGGAAAAGAGGCACCCGGGGAGAGGTCTTCACAGTACACATACAGTTGGCATGCAGGTATGGGCAGAGTGACCAAGGGGGCTTAACTTGTCTGGAGAAATAGTGAGCAGGGAGAGGCTGGAAGCCCATCTCACTAATCAATCACATTAGGAGACCTCCCTAGTGTTTGTAGAATATGAGTAGGATGTGTACAATGTTTGTAGAATAGGAGTAGGAAGAGATACACCCCAACTCATTATCTCAGAGGGAATGTGCTGAAACTATTAATAGTAACCAGTAATGATAATAATAATGAGAATTGTTGTGTGCCAGACTCTTTATGCCTAGCATATTATATGTAATATATGTAATTATATACAATGAAAGTGAAAGTAAAGTGAAAGTGAAGTCGCTCAGTTGTGTCCAACTCTTTGCAACCCCGTGGACTGTAGCCTACCAGGCTCCTCCATCTGTGGGATTCTCCAGGCAAGAATACTGGAGTGGGTTGCCATTTCCTTCTCCAGGAGATCTTCCCAACCCAGGGATCGAACCCAGGTCTCCCACATTGTGGTCAGATGCTTTACCATCTGAGCCACCAGGGAAGCTCATTATATACAATATATAATATTAATTATGTTGATTATTATATGTAATACATGGTGTGTTATGTAATTGGAACTTCCCAGGTGGCTCAGCAGTAAAAGAATCCTCCTGCAATACAGGAGACGAGGGTTTGATCCCTGGGTGGGAAAGATCCCCTGGAGAAGGAAATGGCAATCCACTCCAGTATTCTTGCCTGGGAAATCCCATGGGCAGAGGAGTCTGGCAGGCTACAGTCCAGAGGGTCCCACGGAGTCAGACATGACTGAAGCAACTTAGCACATACGCGTGTGTGAGTGTGTGTGTGTGTGTGTGTGTGTGTGTGTGTGTGTATGTGTATTTATATAGTTAGGCATAAAGAGCCTGGTTGGTATATATACCAGTGACTTTCACATTCAATTTATATTAGACTCCTCCGGAAGGCCTCTTCCAACACAGACTGTTGGGTCCCACTCCAAGAGTCTCAGATTCAGTATGTCAAGAGTGGGGCTAATTCACAGGTGATTAAATGTGGCTGGTCTGGGAACCACACTTTGAGAACCACAATATACTTTATCTTATTTGTCACAACCACCTTGTGGTAGAGATTCTGTTATTATCTCCATTTTACAGATCAAAAAACAAACAAAATAAAACACATCATCTGAGGTTCCTCCCAGAGGCAAAATTACTGTTTACAGCTAGTAAGTGGTGGAACCTAGATTTGAATCTAGGTTTTTCTGACTTCAAAGTTCATGCTTAACAAAAACAATCAGTTCTTTTTTTTTTCCAATTAATTGATAAGTAGAAATCAAGACTGCATTGTTTGAAATTAACACAACATTGTAAATCAACTATACTTCAATAAAAATTTTAAAAAGATTCCATGGTTTGGTAACAAACTTGTTAATTGTTCCTTGGAGTTATCAAAAACAGTAAAAATTTTGATCCTCAGAAAAAGCTGGACATGAGTTATCAGTGTTTCAGAGGTGCAGAAAGAACAATGCCTTGAGGGAGGAAGAGAGATTTTGGATATAACTTTTCCAAGTTTTCTAAGTTCTTACAGCTTCAGGATCTTGTGCTGTGGGCTCTCTGCTAGAGCAGTTGCTCATCCTTTTCTTAGGATGCAATATATCAAATGTGCATTGACCATCTTGTTCAATCGAGCGGGGTAGGCTGAATGAAGGCCACCAATGATATCAGGTCCTAATCCCCAGAAGCTATGAATGTTACCTTATATGGAAAAAGGAATTTTACAGATGTGTTTATATCAAGAATCTTAGACCTAAACAGACATTTCTCCAAAGAAGACATACAGATGGCCAATAAACACATGAAAAAATGTTCAACATCACTCATTATTAGAGAAATGCAAATCAAAACTACAATGAGGTATCACCTCACACTCTTCTGAATGGCCATCATCAAAAAAAAAAAAAAATCTACAAACAATAAATACTGGAGAGAATGGGGGGAAAAGGGAACCCTCTTGCCCTGTTGGTGGGAATGGAAGCTGATACAGCCACTATAAGGAGAATATGGGGATTCTTTAAAAAACTAGGAATAAAACTACCATATGATTCAGCTATCTCTACTGGGCATATAACCTGAGAAAATCATAATTCAAAAAGACACATTTAATACTTAAGAATAAATCTACCTAAAGAAACAAAAGACCTATATATAGAAAACTATAAAACACTGATGAAAGAAATCAAAGATGACACAAATAGATGGAGAAGTATACAGTGTTCATGGATTGGAAGAATCAATATAGTGAAAATGGGTATATTACCCAAAGCAATCTACAGATTCAATGCAATCCTTATCAAGTTACCAATAGTATTTTTCACAGAACTAGAACAAATAATTTCACAATTTGCATGGAAATATAAACAACCTCAAATAGCCAAAGCAATCTTGAGGAAGAAGAATGGAACTGGAGGAATCAACCTGCCTGACTTCAGAATATACTATAAAGCTACAGTCATCAAGACAGTATGGTACTGGCACAAAGACAGAAATATAGATCAATGGAACAAATAGAAAGCCCAGAGATAAATCCACTCACCCATGGACAACTTATCTTTGACAAAGGAAGCAAAAATATACAATGGAGAAAAGACAAATCTCTTTAACAAGTGGTGCTGGGAAAACTGGTCAACCACCTGTGAAAGAATAAAACTAGAACACTCTAACAGCACACACAAAAATAAACTCAAAATGGATTAGAGATCTAAATGTAAGATCAGAAACTATAAAACTCCTAGTGGAAAACATAGGCAAAACTCTCTCTGACATAAATCACAGCAAGATCCTCTACGACCCACCTCTCAGAGTAGTGGAAATAAGAGCAAAATAAACAAATGGGACCTAATTAAACTTAAAAGCTTTTGCACAACAAAGGAAACTATAAGCAAGGTGAAAAGACAGCCTTCCGAATGGGAGAAAATAATAGCAAATGAAGCAACTGACAAAGAATTAATCTCAAAAATATACAAGCAGCTCATACAGATCAATACCAGAAAAATAAATGACCCAATAAAAAATGGGCCAAAGAACTAAACAGACATTTCTCCAAAGAAAACATATAGATGGCTAACAAACACATGAAAAGATGCTCAACATCACTCATTATCAAAGAAATGTAAATCAAACCCACAATGAGGTACCATCTCACACCAGTCAGAATGGCTGCTATCAAAAAGTCTACAAACGATAAATGCTGGAGAGGGTGTGGAGAAAAGGGAACCCTCTTACACTGTTGGTGGTACAGTGTACAGCCACTATGAAGAACAGTGTGGAGATTCCTTAAAAAACTGGAAATAGAACTCCCATACGACCCAGCAATCCCACTGCTGGGCAAACACACCGAGGAAACCAGGATTGAAAGAGACACGTGTACCCCACTGTTCATTGCAGCACTGTTTACAATAGCTAGAACATGGAAGCAACCTAGATGTCCATCGGCAGATAAATGGGTAAGAAAGTTGTGGTACCTATATACAATGGAATATTACTCAGATATTAAAAAGAATGCATTTGAATCAGTTCTAATGAGGTGGATGAAACTGGAGCCTATTACACAGAGTGAAGTCAGTCAGAAAGAAAAACACCAATACAGTATATTAATGCATATGTATGGAATTTAGAAAGATGGTGATGAAAACCCTATACAGGAGACAGCAAAGAGACACAGATATAAAGAACAGACTTTTGGACTCTGTGGGATGATTTGAGAGAATAGCATGGAAACATGTGTATTACCATATGTGAAACAGATGACCAGTCCAAGTTTGATGCATGAAACAGGGCACTCAAAGCCAGTGCACTGGGACAACCCAGAGGGATGGGATGGGGAGGGAGGTGGGAGCAGGATTCGGGATGGGGGACACATGTCTACCCGTAGCTGATTCATGTCAATGGATGGCAAAAACCACCACAGTATTGTAAAATAATTAGCCTCCAATTAAAATAAATAAATAAAAATTTTTTAAAAAGACACTTGCACCCCAGTGT